GTGCTTTTTAAGTTTTGAGATCCAGAGGAATGATTTGCTCGATATTTCGAAATTATACATCTAAAATATAGATATGGAACTCTCAAATAGAATTACGAATAGGAACGGTAGTGCTTTTATTTTTCTTAAGTAATTCGTTCTCAAAGAAGAAATTAATTTGCACAAATTGGTGGAAGTGTCTAATGTAGAACATGGTTAGTATGCAATCCATTTTCGTTAAATTGACATATTGTGTAAGTATTGCAAAAATGGAAACTCCCCTTCCCCATTTATTTCCCTGTTGCTGAAAGCATACATTTACATAGATAGATTCCGACTCTTTTTCATGTACACATGTTTGGCTTTGGTGCACTTCATTTAACTGGTCTGCTTAGTATGAGTAGTCATACTTGTACTAGCCCTCATGTATTAATGAAGAGGTTTATATTAAAAGATGGATCTCAGAGAACATAACAGATTTTCTGATGTTCTTGGGTGTGATGACAAATCATTTTATCACTAACTAAAAATTCATGATTGAGAATGAATCAGAGTAGTGAAAAAATTTCTTTATATTAAATGAACTTGCTAAAATTCAAGAAATAACATGTGTACAATTTATGCAAAGTAGAACCCAAAAGTGACACAGCTCCTTTTTTAAGAAGCAAACTTAACTCATACTCCGTATATGCATAAAACGAATAAGGTACAAAGAAAGTTTCTAAAATGGAAATAAATCCAAAAAAGTGTAGAAGAATCAAGATTCAAGAATGTATGTAGTATGTAGGTAGCTATATAGTGTTAAGATAGACATCCATATTAAGAGTTTTTTTCTGTATTAAATAGGCTAAAACGACCGCAGCAAATAGCAATTATTCTAGTAGTGCTAACAAGCATCTATGTTATTAACTTGATATCTCTATACCCATGACTAGTGGAATATAGCCATCAGTTAATCCACATACTGGTCTATTAATTATTAATGTCCCAAATTAATAATATTAGACCAGGGACAATAAGAATATTATGTTTATTTTAAAGTGTAGCATTCCACAATTAAGTCACATACTTAATTAGCTACTAAACAGAATATTCAGGGACTAAATATTAATAAAGAAAACTCACAATAATAATTAACATAAAATGAGTTTGCAACTTTATTAATTAATGAGCATTAAATATTTATTAATAAATCATAAACTATGATTGTCCTAGGGCATATTTCCAACAGGAGGTACCGGAATGGAATCGACATCTGAGCGGGACCGGACCCACCACTAGGTGTAAGTATGCAAATTCATTGCAAAGGCACTGTAGCATCTGCGTTTTCCAAATTTGGAAAACTAGTAAAAGTCACTTCTCCAAATCATTAAGGAAAAGAGAGACATGTTTCATTTTTTCCGTTTTGGAAAACGATTTGGTAAACTCGTTTTTCTTTTTTCCTCTCTCCAGTTTTCCAGGAATTTCTTTGGTAAACACGTTTCCTGTTTTCAGTTTTCCAGTTTTCTGGAAAACTGGAAAATATTTCTGTTAGTAAATAGGCCCTAAGTTTCCAAGAATCATCATTACCACAAAGTGACAAACAAAGTATTCTTTTTGTCTCCATAATTGAACAACGTAACGTGTGCAAAAACAATATTGGGGTTGGACGACTAAGGAGGGACATGGACTGCATTATGATTAATACTGATAATATTTTCAGAAGAAGAAATCTTATAAGAAGAGGGTTGCTAAGTGCATATATGGATGTCAACAGCGACCTCAAGAAAAACCAAAGGGACTAAGAATCTGCAAGAGCTTAATGATTCACTCAGGAACTTATCCTAGTTGTAGTGAGGCTGCTTTGGAGTTCGAAGCTGGTCTTGACGGGAAGAGTTGAGGAATCCATTTCAGCAATACGCATTTAATCCATCACTGTCCGAGCACTACCGCTATGATCCGCGTCCTCAAAATCTCCAGTTGCATCTTTCCCTGCATAGTACATTGAAAATGCATGTAGCCTTAACTTTCATACGACCTATCATCCCATAAACAAAACTCTCGTTTGAGGTATAGGTGTATAACTTTGAAAGGTCCCAAACATATAGTAACTCATGTTTTTTTGGATGGCAAGAATAATTCTCAAACACGCTATCGAAACACAAATTTATTTAGTATGCAACTGAAGGTGGATAATGACAAAAAAAACAGAAAAGTTCATGAGTTTCTCTTTTTTCTTTCTCAAATGTGACATAAGAAGATGAGATTTACCCTTATTGTAAGTTATTGCTTTCTTTTATCTCATAAGAAATAAAGCAATATATAGAAATTTCGGCTAATTTAACCATTTCTGCCACAATTGCAGCATCTTTAGATCATTTACCCTAAAAGAAAATGATCTCTAAAAGGTTGGGTTTTAAACAACCCGGACTTCAGAGAAAAATGATACCATCATAGTATCATACCAGTTAGTGGCAGCAAAACCTCATCAGCACATGAATGGTCTTTCCGAGAATTTTGCCCCATCATATAGCAATAAGTGATACAAAAAAGTGAAGTTAGAGAACTGATAATGCAATGGTGGTATGAGAGGAATTTCATGCACTGAACTAAAGTTGTAATTATGCAAAAAGATACTCCTTACATGTGATTATGTAAGGAACTACATCCTCATCAAGTTATTTTTCATTAAAAAAATTAGGTGTGCATATAGTTCTGTTGTTCACTCGTTCATTTAGTATCTGGAAACAAACATGAATATAAATGATAATGTACAACTGCATTAATGTTCAGCCAGAAAAAACTTTTTTAAATATGTGTAAAAAGTAGATATGATTCTATAAGTGACCTTTTTAAAAAGTAGATATGATTTTATTATGGTGACAACTCCGGTACCCATTTAAAAAATGGGGTACCGTACCTACCATGTATTTGATTGGTCCAAATCATTAAATCCCTTTTAACTTAGATTTAAATAATTCAACTGCATGATTCTGATTGGTCCATGTGGACAAAGGTACGGTACCTTATGGGTACCGTAGAATCTACCTTTTATTATATAAAAGTAATGAAGCAAGTACGAATGGAAAAAATAGTTCCCCTTCTTCCCTAAAAAAAAGAAGATAATAAGGGGGTTAAATAACTTTTTCAATTCAGATATCATTGTTCTTTTGCTAAAAATTCAAAAAAAATATGTTATGTTTTGGTTCAATTCCCTAAGATTAGTTTTCATTTTTTCACAAACTAAAGATGTCACAACCCAGAAAATATGCACACTTATTTCATTTTTATACACACATGTCCGCTTATACACACCAGCGGGGCTAATAGTTACCCTATGAATCAAATTTATCGGCATACACGCATCAGACTAAAGTTAAAATAAGAGAAAAGGCGATGTTATATCTAAGTATGAATGTATTGGAGTTATAACATATCTAGAATATATACAATTCATAGGGAAATGCCTATATAGCAGGTGCTTTTGGTAATTTAATAGTCCTCTTCATAGAATATTAGAATCATAGTCAAAACACAATGTAATTCGATGCTAACAAAGACTTTAACATAAAAAGACTTTCTGATATTTCACTAAGAAAAAGGTAGAACACGAAATTACTAACTCAACATCCAATTACACAAAAGTTCAAAACTTGAAGAAACCAAGTAAGACACATGTTGGATACATAAATCGAGGACAACTTCCTAATAGAAATAAACCCACACTATGTTTTACGTGTTTATCTAGCTCCTCATTAGGATGCCGGAGACTCAAAGTTGAAAGGAAATATGCAGGTGTAGTACCGATCAAACTATGCAATAATAAAGGAAATGTACACAAACCTCTTTCCTATGATACATAAAGGAAAAAAGATCATCTTTTATGTTTTTATCTAGCTCCCCATATTAGGATGCCGAAGACTCAAAGTGGAAAGGAAATATGCAGGCATAGCACCGATCAATCTATGAAATAATAAAAGAATTGTACACAAAACTATCCTTGGATCTCTATCTTTATAAAATCACATCATAAATAAGTAAAGCTCGTTTTTGAAGTTAATAGTTGCTGTTAATTTTAAATGACCCATTAAAAATGGAAAAAAATCTAACGTCAATATAACAAAGTCACAAAGAAGCTCACTAAAATAAGAAATTATTGATTGAATACCAAACACTGAGTAAAATATGTCATGTTTGATAAATATAGACATTTAATATGAGATTACAGATTTTCAAAGATGGGGAGGAAGAGGGGGCTGAAAATAGACAGAAATTGAAATGAAATCAAATTTATTAGGGGTCCAAATCTGTTTCAACCCCTAGTTCCACGCTTCGTCCATGATCTTCTGATCTCAACGATGAACGACATCTTCAAAACTCTGTACCTGCTGCTAGGGGTACCCAACCTTTGGCCGCCATATAGGCTCTGCGGTCCGCCGAAGAAGAGATTCTCACGAAAGGCGGACGAAAGCCGCACAAGAAAGCCACACTTCGTCGAAGACGACAGCGGAGAAAAACAACCTCTAACCCTAAGGGAGACGGCCGCCTAGAGAGAGAAGCTCACATGAACTGTTGCAATTAAAATGATTTAGTCCTTAATTAATAATTTAATACTGGTCATTATTTCAATTAAAATTTGATCTTATTTTTATGTATTTTTTTTGAGGGATTTATGTATTAATAATATTATTTTTGTCATTCTTTAAAAAACATTTAGAGGCCGTTTGGCAACACCGTTTTTTGACTTATCAGATTTATCGGTCAACTTTTTCGCCAAACACGTTAATTTTGTTTTTTCGCGCGCTGAATTGTTTAATAATCAGAAAAAGTAAGATTGAAGTTACTTTTCTGGCTGTATTGGTTGAAGTTACTATAGATGACCATTTTAACTATTTTTACATATGATTTTTTCTTTATTTTATTCATAAAATATATTTTAAAAATAATTTTTTCTTAAATAATCAGAATCAGTCAATGCAGTCACTTTAGCCAGAACTCCATAAATTTCGGTATAAACCACCAAATTAGCTTACTTTGGTGCTAAGAAACGGACTCTTAGTAAAATTGAAAACCTCCATATAAAATTGACAAAAAGTTCAGTTCCTGGAGCGGTTGTGCAAGTCCCGATCGCCACCGTCCACCGCCAGCATTCCGTACCAGCAGGGTCGTACCGCCGACGCTCAGCGGCGGAAAAGCCATTCAAACTATGGTAATTCGAATCCTAAAGAATCTAACTTCGAAACCTACCACCACTAGCGCCACCGCCGCTGCAACTTTCCAACTCCGCTGCAAAACCACATCGGCCGAGTACGTAGCATCTAGAGCAAGAGACATAACCTTCGAGAAGCTCATGGAGAATTACAAAAACCTCTTCAGAGTCACTGAAATCCAAGACCTGATCCTCGCCAGCCGCTCCAATCCACCTTCCGTCTCCGTGGATTTCCTCAACCGCCTATCTCAGAGACTCCACCTCAACCGCGGCGCCATAGCCTTCCTCCGCAGGTATCCTCATATTTTCCACATATTCTACCACCCCTCCAAATCTCAACCTTACTGCGCGCTCACTGAGACAGCCATGGAAATCTCTAGATTAGAGGCACAATCCACCAGTTCTTCATTGGCCCTTGCTGTGGAGCGCTTGGTCAGAATTCTATCGATGTCCCTCACCAAAACGGTGCCGCTTCGTGCTATCTTCAAGATCTGGAAAGAGTTAGGTCTTCCTGATGATTTCGAGAGCTCTGTACTCTCATCAAATTCTCATATATTCACACTCGATCATGGAAACGAGCCAAACACTCATGTATTGAAACTAGTAACTGAAATCCCAAAGGAGACCCTAATTGCTTCTGTTGAAAATTGGAGGATCAAGGAGTGTTGCAAAGAGGATTCAGGCGGTCTGGATAGAACTGAAATTCTATATAGCTTCAAACATTCATATCCTCCCGGAATGAGGTTGAAGAGGAACTTCAAGGCCAAAGTTAAACAGTGGCAAGGCTTACCATATATTGGTCCGTATGAGGAATGGGGATGTAGGGAGGAGGAGGAGGAGGAGAAGAAGAAGACAAGTAAGAGGCAAATGATAGAAAAGGAGAAGAGGGCAGTTGGGATAGTTCATGAGTTCCTGAGTTTGACAGTGGAGAAGATGGTGGAGGTTGAAAAGATAAGCCATTTTAGGAAATGGTTTGGGATTGATCTGAATATAAGGGACTTGTTCCTCGATCATCCTGGGATCTTCTACTTATCAACTAAAGGGTACAGGCACACTGTTTTCCTTAGGGAGGCTTATGAGAGGGGTTGCCTCATTGAACCAAACTCTGTTTATGAGGCTAGGAGGAAGCTTCTACATCTTGTAGCGATGGGGCGACGCGGGATATCTGTACACAAAACCCCGAGACAGGAAGAGGTAGAAAATCAACAGGTAGTTCACTTTCCTAACAAGACATGCAACTAAACATGCAACATTTTCCGAATTTTAAAATGGACCTTTAATGTTTGTTTTTACTTTGAAGATTTGAAGAAAGGGGAACTCACATGTCATTGAGACTTTACGTATTGTTTTGTATGTCTGAGTCTTTATATAATAATAAATTATATGAGTTTGAACTTTGAACAAATATCTGAGATTGATTTATTGTGATCTAACTTCATTTTTTGTAATTTACCCCTAAATTTTCTCTTTCCAAATTCCCTCTATTTTATCCCCAGTATTTTGCTATGCTAAGTATGCTTTTTGGCTCTATACTTATATCTGAATAATAACTGATTTATTAGCTATTTATGCTCCAGATGCCACATCAGTGATTACCAATGATGGACATAATATAGTGGTGTGTTCATGAACCTTGACTACCTTCCATATTATGTTGTGTTTTTCGTACTGTTCGTTTTTACTCCCTCCACCCTACTTGTTTTTGACAAGTGAAAATGGGTCACAAATTAACATAGATTAGCATTACCTTGTTGATATTGTTTTTTTAAAATATGCAATAATTTGATGGTCGTAATATAGTGGTGAGCTCATGAACTTTGACTTCCTTCCATATTATGTTCTGTGTTTTTTGTACTGTTCGTTTTTACTCATTCCGCCCTACTTGTTTTTGACATGTGAAAATGGGTTACAAATTAACCAAGATTGGCATAACCTCGTTGATTTTTTTTAAATATGCAATAATTTGAGCCACACAAACGTTATGAAATCTCGTGAAGATGCATTGTTGGATGAAGAGAGTATGACTGAACAGAATTGTGTATTATCGCAGTGGCTGGAATAATACTGTCTTTGTTCAGGGAATTTTAAAAGGATATGACTAGGCCACAAACTTAATTCTTGATGAATCTCATGAAAGAGATTATTCAATCAAGGTCCGACCTCATCTATCTCTTATCTTACATGTTCTAGTTTTCGACCATAATTATTAAATTTGGATTTTGTTCCTTCAGAAAACTTGTTTTCTCATGGTTGTATTAGGTTACCAAACAGTGGCTCTTATAATGCAGAAAGGGATACACCAGCTTGTCTCAGGACTTTACATCATCATAGTAGGGGACAGTTTGTATGTGTCCATCATTTCCTAGATCTCCCTCTTTTGTCGTTGCATTTAAAGAATAACAACAATAATATGTGATGTTGTGAAGTTGTGGTTGACTTTGTCAATAAATTCTGCAGTTGTGACTTGTGATGTTTGGGAGTTAGATGAAGAGCTGGTCGCAAGCTTGGACATGTCAGAGTTTAGAGCTCATCCTTTGAAAGCTTTTGTCCACTGACTCCTCTATGGGTCATCGGGGAGCGCGTCATTTACAAGAGTTCTGCATTCGAAATGTTTAAGGAGACGTATTTTTGTATGTTAACTCCGTCACGAATTTTTAACTTAGAATCGCACATTCCTGCAATTTCAACAATGTTGGCTCTAGTATTTAAATAATAGGGACTAGGGAGTATGTATTAATGATCGAGTGACATATATGACCACCTTGTAACGTTGCAAGACTCACATTCCATATTAAATTTCTACGTAGCAAAGAGGCGTCTAGACTGGAGCATAGTCAATGATGTGTGTAAGGAGGGTCGACCTCCTGTTATGCTAACTCCACTGAAAGAGGTAATATCAAGTTTCCACATATATGATCACATGATTTCCATACCTAATACTTCGTATATAGTAGTCATTTTGTATACTCGTATTATTTAAAGATGACATACAATCAATAGTTAGTTGATTAATTTTTTATGGATTAACATGCCCTTGTTGAATCTATAACCCTAATCCCTAATCCTTCATTAAAGCAGATCATACGCCTCAATATATCTCCTGATCCATCTTCAGTTGCCTTCATCAATCTTCCTTCTAAGATCCTCCCTTCATTCTCTATCAAGCTCCCTTCTCCAATCTTCAAGATAAATCTGTTCCTTATGTGTTCCCCCGAAACTTTAGATTGAATTAGCTTTGCAGTATAAAATTAAGAATTATTTGCTGTAATTACTTCCCTATCACATAAGTTGGATTTTTGTATATTGTTTCTTTGCTCTACTTCTCTTCGTTTGATTTTTTCAAAAACTTGTTCACTCTATTTTTGGATGGGGACTTCTAATGGTGGGCAGTGACTAGTGAGTCACAAATACATGCAGGCGGCGGACAATGAGTTGCATACAAGGACATTGATGCCGGAGGGAAGGGCTGTGAGATTGATGAGAGCAGACACTGGTGGGAAGACCAGTGATGGCAATGAAAAGGGCAGTGATGGTGGGAGCGAAGGGCAGTGATTCAAGTAAATGGAGTGAATTTTTTTAAGTTTAGACCATCAGGAATATAAAAGAGTCTTAGTCTTATTATCTATGTTTAGTCATATTATTTTTAGTCATATTTAGGGAAACTGATGATGTTTAATCATAGTCTCAGTAAATTTCCCTGGAGTAGTGCTGGATAAATTGAATCACATCAAACTCTACTTCAATAAAATCACATCTCTTCATTTTTAATCAACTCCAGTTATCACATACTCCATGCTACCCAGGTGTTGTTCCTCTTTAATAAAAGGTCGACAGACTTGCTGCCACTATAGAATATATTTCCATTTTATTTATATTTAATTATTTAAAATGTTTGTAAACGACCTTGCTGAATATAGTTAGATGTAAATCATGTAATTGTTAAAGAGAGGCTTTATTGTGTTGAATATAAGCCTCTCAATCCCTGATAAATGTTTTGTTAACACTGGAAGATTATGTATGTACAAAAAAATTGATTATTTTTTTAATGTTCAATTTAAAATGTTAAATATTGTAAAATAATACTCTGAGATTATGTAGTACTAGCTCCACAATTTACTGCGTAGTATTTGTTCTATTTATTTTTAGATGTCTTTTATTATTTGTTCAATTTTCGTTTTTGGTTACTTTTTCTTCTTTGCGTTCATACTTTCTACTTTTCCATCATCTATTCCATACTTTTCATCTACCATCTTCTACTTTCACGCATTTCTACACTTGGCATATCATCTGTTTCTTGATCTCTTTGAAAAACTATAAGAACAAGTGAATAAATACGAGGGAGTAATACTTTAAAAGGGAAATTAAAATCTGTATTCTTATAATAACTATAATGTGAACTCTGTTACACTATTATTCATAAATATAATAATATTAAAGTTGACATAATGTCAAATCAAACTAATTCAGACTTAAACAAACCAGACCACACAAACATATTTTGATTAACTAGGATCATACCACACCCTATCTAACCGCTACTTATTTAAACCTAATTCAAATCTAGCTGTTGGAAGGGTCTGTTAGCTAGCCATTAAAAGTAGTAGCTAAAATCAAACACAAAGTGCATACAATATTGTCAAAGCCGAAGGGGATGTAAATGGAAGTCAACTAGGCGCCTAAGCATGTGTAAGATTATTCGAAAGCCAGCTGACTCCAACTCAGAACTCGCCAAATAAAATGCGGCAAAGCAGATGTATAACTGGAACACAAGGATGCATATAACGGAAGCAGTCAGTCAGCTTCTATTAGTTTGATCCCTGCATCTCTCAGTTCAAAAGACTAATTTCCTACGAGGTGGTGCAAATGATGCAAGATCACGGATTGCTTCTCCCATTAAGTCTTTGTATACAAGCCGTTCTATGTCCAAAACTGCCTCTGACATCTCAACCGGACAATCTGCCCAGCCATTAACACCATCTTGCGCCAGATCTTTTTTTAAAGCAGTGCAAATGATCTCAAACAAGTCATCTGAACTTCCCCTTTCTTGGATTCTTTGGAACTCCGACAGTACCTTTTCTGTGGATGAATTTGCATAAATACAGTTTGGCCATGAATAAACTTTCCATGGAGGCAGTTGTTTCTCACTCCTATTAAGAATCTCTGTGGTAGTGCCAAAGATCAGCCTTCTTTGCAGTCTACAATTTTTGGATGTGTCTTCTCGTTTGAAAAAATGTTGTTTCTCCAGAAGTAAAAAGATGTCTGATCCTTTGGGGAGGTAATGTGAAGCCTTAACAATGTCTGCAATATAGCTAAAATCAGAGTCAAAGGCTGCATCATCCGACTTCAATTGGACCGGTGAAATTTCGGTTGTTGATATCTCCTTGCTGAAGTCGCCTACATGGTGCACAAAGTAAAATTGACAGCTCTCTTTAACTTTTTATATGTGAGACTAACAAGAAGTCATTTTCTATCTATTCACAAGCAAAACATACAAGTAAAGAGAAATCTTTTAATATTTTATAAATATGTACCGATGCATTGTGGACTTCAAGGCAACAGCTGCAATCCCCTTAATGGTTTATTAAACATGTGCAAAAGAAAACTCCGCAAAAAAATCATAACAGGCACAGGTCCAACTGATAAAAAATCATTAGGCATAAATGACTACAGTTCTGTTATCGCTTATATTTTTTCTTATTAACACAAGGAGAAAAAAGAACTCCAAAAAAAATCATGTCTTAGTGCCATGATTTATGAATGATGCCATGCTGATATATCCAACTAATCACCACATATAATTGCAATCTATCATACACTCCAGGAAACACTAAAGCTTGTATACGCTAGCACTTACTCTATGGCTCTATCCCCTTCAAATAAAAGTATGAATCAGGCAACTAGGCAAGGGGTCAAAGGAGACGTGTGTAATTAGATGAAACTACCTGAGTTGGCATATAAAGGCTTTTGCTACATACCTAAGAATCCAATGCGTCGCTTCCTTGTGGGAGAAGGAGATGGTGACTCATCTTTGTAGAATGAGGAGTCCAAAACTGATACTGGGCTGGGTTGCAGATCTGTTGCTGTCATCTCTGCAATACTCTGAATCAGCTTGTCACACCTCTTCAAAAGGCTTCTTCCTTCATTGTTCTCTTCTCTATTCAATCTCTATTGAGCATGATGCCATCCAAAAAAAGAAACATTAGCATAAAAATTTAAGTATTAAAAAACTGTTATTTTAGAAGTACCTTATAACTATGTGGAAAGATTAATCATAGGGCAACGTTAAATTTGAATATGGTAGGGAAATATTATCAGATTCTTAAAAACATGGGGTTCTACACTAAAAGGTTAAACTGATAGGAATTATCATGTTTGAATATTTATATTTGGCCGGTGTGACATATCTTAATACACGAGTCTAATTCTTCACCACTCAATAAATGTGAGCCAAATAGGAATGTGTGTTGAGAATGTCCAGCTTTATTTCCCCCTAGCAATATTCTTTTAATAAATGCAAAAAAATTGCCACTACATGAGTTTGAAATGATGAAGTAGTAGTGCTTCCAGAAAAAAAAAGATACCTCTTCCGCAGCAAGGGTTGTGATCTCATCTTCCTGATGAACATGTTCCCATGGATTTTTAGCCCCCGACTGTTTTATGATATTTTTCTCGGATATACTCCTGGAAATACCTTTATGTGACTGTAAGGGAAAGAACTTTTGATTTTGAATTGGCTCTCTCTCTCTTTGTTGGGGGTCAACATTCAGACCCCTGGGGCTTATTACTGAATTTGGACACCTCAAACTGCCATCACTGGATTTTATATCCTTTCTGTTGATTGATGAGATGGATCTGGAAGGTTTCATCACAACTATCTGAGACTCCTCAAAAGAGAATCTTGGATCATCATATATGACATTGAGCTGATCAATTCTCCCAGAAGGCTTTTTGGCACGTAGGAGTCCTTTGAGTTGCAAGGACTCTAAAATTTGCTTCAACGTCTCTAGATCTTTAGAAGGTCCATCAAGTCTCTTGTCAATATCTACGTGAAGTGGGGCTGTCTGTTTAGGGTCCGGAAAAACGTCAAGTCTATCATAAAAGCTTTTACGGTATTGTGGTGGGCTCCATGATGTTGAACTTAAAGCTCTTGACATAGGCTTCCTATTGTCGATTTCAACATTATCTACCACTACACAATTTGGCATGTGAGAGTTCAAGTGGTTGGTTCCCTTGAGCTCAAAGTCATTTCCATCAATTGTATGGCAGTTAAACAAGTCTCTTGTTGAAACTCTTGACTCTGAAGCAGATCTTCTCAGCTCAGCTCCATGTGCGGTCTCTGAAACGGATTGTGGCAATGCCTCAAGTCCCATCAGCTTTGCAATGACACTCGGATGTCGGCGAGCTTTGACATCATCATCACTAGTAAAAACCTTGTCTTTAGCAATTCCACTATGGCTTGCTGATATATATGAAGATGGCTGTTGGAGCTCCTTCGGTTGAAGGCTTCCTTTAGAGTCAACTGTGGCTCGGCTGTCAAGTGAGAGCCTAGGAGCTTCTTTATGGATCTTCCAAGAAGGCCTTGCCCCATCTTTCACTTCAAAAATTGGAAGAGTGCGTGGAGATATCAAAGGTGTTATAACTGAACTGAACGATGATGAAGGAGACTCTCTGGATCGTTTTGTGGGACTAGGTGGCACTGCCACCACTTTAGATGGATATCCTTCTGCCGATCCTTTCCAGGTTTCCGGTGGTGGGGTTGTATTTTCCGGTTCTGATGTGCTGTCATCAACCTCCTGAGGTTTAAAGTGGGATGAGTAATACAAAAGGCCATTATCTTATGAGGAGTAATTCAATGTGTCTTAACATGCCCTGAGTATGATGCTAAATTAGAGCAAGCAAATGTTGAAATCCATCTACTCATTTTTAGGCTTATTCATTTGAACTTAATAGTTAATACACTCTAATATCATAAAAACACTTTGCATCACTTATAGACTTTCACAATGTGGATTAACAAGTAGGAAATATGTAGTAATATACATACCGCTAGCAATGATAATAATAATTAGATTGGAAGACAGAGTAAATCAACTCACTGTAAAGGGTGTGAGAAGCTTAGTGGTATGCAGTCTCTTGCCGGCTAAAATGTGATGACGATAGAAAAGCTGGAAAAACCCAGGCATACACCCAATCCTTCTATTATCATCCATACAATGCACATAAGCTCCAACATAAAGCAAACAATTGTTGTGATAAAACTTTTCTCCCAATCACCTGGTGAACATTAACAGCGAGCCGGTGCCAATCAGTCATTAAGCGGGAATGCGGGATACGTTCACTAAACACCAATACTCTAGCAAGAAGTAGCAGCACCAGTTAGTAGGTGCCCCATTGGTAAATCTCTATTTTTGGATTGGATTATCAGTCTTATCAACTAATTTCTTTATAGACACTAAACTTTTGATTCAGCTCGCTGTAATGCTGCTCCCTGTATAATTTATCTAATACTACCCAATATAATTTATCTATCTATTAAAACATTCAGAATGGTAAATCCTGATTATGGTACAAGATATAAGTGGGAAAATGAAAGCTAGGTCACCACTCACGAGTGCAGAAGCTAACATAAAGAAATTGGGAAACCTTTCTCTCAAATGTTTTCTCACTGGTCACTGTGTTCATTCTCTATTTTTTGAAAATTTGGAAATGGTTATAAAAAAGAGAAGGAATCTTGAGAAAGAAGTACAGCAGATAGCAAGGAAATGGCGATTAAACCAAGTATAAAGAGGGCGAAGAAAACAATGCCTGGGGATTTAGGAGAAAGAGCTGCACAGATCTGCCGCCATTGGAGAAACAGGAAATTCTGGATACAACATAATAAGCTCCAAAACAACGGTCTTTGCTGACAAGTTCTGGTCTTTCTCGGGATTCCAATTACACCTAAGGCATTGGCTAGCGTCATTGGCATCACCACCATACGTCCTCCCCTTTTTTGCACTAGTCACGTGTTTTCTTTATTTTTAGAAGAACCCGGTACAACCCATAAACAGGAAATTCTGGGTACAAAATAATAAGGGCTTGTTTGCAAACTATTATTTTAAGTGCTTTTGGCTTTTTTTTTAAAAGAAAAAAACACTTATTTTACCAAACAATATCAAATATTACTTTCTCGGTTTTCGTGTAGAATCTACTTTTTACTTTTTTTATTAAACAAAAAGCACTTATTTTACCAAACACTATCAACTTTTACTACTAATCACTTTTTTCCAAAAAGTACTTTTATTTAAGCACAAGTGGTTGCAAACAGAGCCTAAGCTCCAAAACAACGGTCCAATGTTTTGCCCAATCCATACCTGTACGGCCGTACCACAATTATTTAGAGCCCGTTTGGTGGCACGAAAATCGGCTGATTTGACAGATTCTGCTGAAATTTATGAAGTTCTGGCTGAAGTGGCTACATTGGCTGATTCTGCTGATTTAAGAAAAAATTATTTTTAAAATATATTTTATTAATAAAATAAAGAAAAAATTATATGTAAAAATAGCTAAAATGGTCATCTACAGTAACTTCAGCCAATACAGCCAGAAAAGTAACTCCAACCTCACTTTTTCTGCTTATTACACAATTAGCGCGCGGAAGCGAAAGTTACGTGTTTGGTGAAAAAGTTGACTGATAAGCCTGATAAGTTGAAAAATATTGGTTCCAAACGACCTCTTAAACAGTTCAATTCGGTCTTAGACCTCAACTCGATCAGTCCGGTCCATTTTCAAATGAGACGGTATCATGGCATACCAATATCAAACAATGTCATTTTGCATGTGTTTGAAAAAATTAAAATTTAGTATTCTCCAAAAATCCACACAACTTATCAGTTTTCACATTTCATACTACCTCGTTTTAAGTGTACGTGTGCAAAGGAGTACTCATCTCTCAGATCTTTCTCTCTCTCTAGGGTGGGTTTCCACCGCTAGGGTTTTCCTCCCGCTATCGTTTGTAACGAGGAGCGAACGCCGCAGGCGAGCTTAGGCATATAGGGATTTTGCTTCTGCCATAAATCGTGTGGCTTTTTCTTCTTCTTTTGCTTGGCGAGATTAAGCGGACGGAAGATGATGTTTGGTCTCTGGCGATCGAAAGTTGTGCAGAAACCGAAGATGGATGCTTGGTCTCCGGTGGCCAAAGGTCATGGACGAAGCGTGGGGCTAAAGGCTGAAACAGATCTGGATTCGAGGTCATCTGTGTTAGGTGGCGACAGAGGAGGCTTGGTAGAGAACATGATGAATAAGAGGCAAGACTGTGTTAGGTGAGGAAGAAGCTACAGTACTGCTGGATCGTCCATCTTCTAAACCGCCGCCATGGAGTGCAGGAGAGTCTAGGGTTTGGAATCATCTTTTTAATTTTACTCTTTGCATGCGATTTATTTTTCATGACCAAACTATTTTTTTTTTTGTTACTTATATTATTGTAAGACTCTTGCATTAGGATTGAGTGATAGTAGATCTACTTTAACCGTATTTGGCTCATGTAAGCCCATTATAGGAACATCGAGTTATATTGTTTCTCAAAAGGTGATTGATTCTAAATCTGATTCGAGGTCCGACGGTTGCCTATGGTCCTTACATCGTTTTAACCGCTTTTTGAATGTTAATGCTGTGGTATCAATGTAAGTCCCCCTCTTAAAAAAACATATTTCTTACTACCTTCTTCCTAGGTTGATTTGCAAAGTCAACTCTTTTTTGGTCAAATAGTTTCTTTTTATTCACTTAATTAAGATATCACTTTTTAATTATGTTATAATTTGGCCTTACAAAAAAAAGTACTTCGTATATTGTAATTTGGATTTTGCAATTTTAAAGGTATTTTAACGCGGTTTCTAAATATGTAAATTTTAATTATTAAATATTGTATTAATTATCTTTAGGGAGGACTTACCATTAAGATTGATAAAAAAATGTTTACTTTGCAAATCAATTTGGGACGAATGAGGTAATTAAAAAATTTCAGATAAACTATAGTAGTACAAATTTAAATAATTAAATCATACTTTGGTCCCATTCGATTAGGTATCGGTTCTCATTTTATGAGAACCCGTCATGGCATTGTTTGGAACTGGTACGGTCTAGTTTGAGACAAAAAAATTGAGATCCGTTTCAAATTTGGTTTATCGATCTAGTACCATACCAACCTGGTTCGGTACAAAGCCGGTTTTGGATTTTTGCCCACCCCTAAAAAATACTAGGCGTACTTCATTCTGAGTACTCCCGTTAGTACCCCTATTTGTGTGATTTACAAAAGCAATTCATAATAAATGGAGCAACTTTTTTTATGAATGACCTTTTGTGAACCACACAAATAAGGGTACAAATGGGGTACCCAAAACGGGGTACCCGAAGAATAACTCATTTTAGAATGCATAGTACATTTTGGAGTATAATACTCTGCTATTCAAAGTTCAAATGAAGATTTATATGGAGTACTCATTTTAGAATAATTAAAATACCCCAAACATTGAAGGGTGTGAAATAAACATCCCCAATTTGCACATGTAATTTAAATATCTCAAATTATATATATATATACATACATACATATATATGCATGTATATATATAATTATTTTAGCACCATGGTCATGTGTTATTCACATATTTGTTTCAAAAATGTTGATTTTTGGTGTTAATTTCATAATTTGAATTATTTTAGCATTCGTGAAGATACAATTAACATTCTAAACTTTCATTTTAACATAAATAGCATTACCCCCACTCTCTATATATAATTGAAACGTTTTCAAGTTGCTATTTCTAATTATGCAATTAATACCATAAGTTTACATTTTTGAAAGAAATAATACATGAGTATTTTAATTACATAAGAAAATTTGGAGTGCTTATCTCACTCTCTTTCAAAGTTTGAGCTATTTTAATTATATTTCCCTTTTAAAAAATTTTTAAACTTTTGTCAATTAATCGATTTTGGCTAATGATATTTTTAATATAAACTTATCTTGAATATAAAAAAATAAAAAGCTCTGTGTTCAAAATATTTTAATAGAAATATAAAATTTATAAATTACATACAAAAATAATAATCAAAATCATAGTTCAAAGTTTGTCATCGTTACATAATATGTTTTAGCTCTACTCGCGTGTTTTGTCTCATTTCAATCTCACATCCACCACAAAATAGACTTAAATAAATAAATTAGACCACACTTAAACAAACAAGTTCAGATTGCACCAAAAAACATGCATTCATTAGACCATATATAATTAAGTCCAATTAAAAATAAAACATCTTAAACTCACTCTCCGTAATTTCTTCTAATAACACACTGAATCTCAATTTAGACGTGCATTAGTAAATAGTAAACTTATAACAGATAATATTTCATAATTAATTGATGCTACATTGTTTAAAGTAAACAGGTACGAAAGGAAAGGAAATCAAAACGATAAAAAAAGTGAGAAAACAATCAAGCGCCAATCAGCGAAGTGTAAAAAAAAGGATGAAGTAAATGAATTTAAAAAAAAATCATTACTTATTAAATTTATAAGAGTGGAAAATCCTAAATTTAAAAACATAGACAACAATGTAAATAAAACAATATAAAAGTGAGAGAAATTTATAATGAATAGAGGCACTATATTGTACCACTGATTGTACGTACAGTGCACACCGTGAAGTCGATGTCATTTTTGTAATTTTAGTTGAAAGTAGCGACTTTTGTTGATTGAGTATCAAGTGTACTATGTTGAGCATTTGCAGTTGGATATTGATAAGGGTTGAGAATCATGATTTTTGTTTCACATCTTCTATTTTTCTTTTCTCTTATAAAATCCCTCAAATTGTATCTATAATTGAATTCCAATATGTGAATCTAATTTAATATTATACTTTTGAAATATATAAAATTCGTAAGCTCTATAAGTTCAACACCATGACATTTTTATTGAGCATCAAACGTCCTCTCTTAAGCATTAGAAACTCACATTTGAATATCTTGATTTATGTTCCCATATCTGCAACTCATATGAATTCCAATATGTGAATCTAATGTAATATTATACTCTTAAAATATGTGTTGACGTGGCATTTTAAAATGAGCATAACACTAGTACTAAATGAGCATAGATAATTTACAAAATGAGTATCAGGAAATTCCAAACTCATTTTTTAATAGTAATTCCAAAACTCATTTGAAATTTGTAATGTGCTCAAATATTCATTTGTGAATTTTCTACTTAGAAAATTTATTGTGTCGTTTTATAATGTTTCACTCATGCACATTTTGTGGTTAATATGTATAACATAAAACACATTTAATAGTCTTCATATCATAGTTCCTCAAGCGTATGAGTTTGGTAAGAGGTTAATGTATGTACAAATAGACTTGTAAACGTTTCCGTTTGACAAATATAAATGAGAATGACATAGATAATCAATGTTAAAATGCAAATATCTCCATTGAGCATCATATTACTACCAATGATTTATTTATCGCCCAATATACTATGGACACTAATTTTGTGGTGTTTATAACTTCAATGTAGTTTACTCATGATTGCATCATGTAACAGAAATTAGTTTAAACTCCACTTAACAATCGAAACAAAACTATTACGATTTGTTTGGTTTGGGGTAATTACGGAATTATTTAATTTACTTTTAAATATGTTGATAAATATGCATAAAAGTATAACATGGTATTATTTAATTTACTTTTACAGTAAAATTTACAGATGAAAATTAGATTAATTAAATTTGATGTGCACATATTACTTGTTGCTTATGCATTGCAAAAGCTTAAAATATAGGAGTAGTAGCTAATATTGCTTGTGTTAATATTCTTATTTTTTTAAAATCGTAAAATGGCTACAATAGAGCTAGCCCTGTAGTCCCACCCTAAAAAATATACTACCTTCCTTCTCTTTTAATTGCACCATTGAACTTTATACACTGATCATATATTCTACCTTGACAATATTCTATTTAGTACTGTATCATAAAT